GCCGAAACCAGACAGATCAGTGATCTATATGTTTTGGGCCCTCCTCCACCTCTTCCTACTCGTCCTCTCCCTCCTCCCCCTCCTCCTCCTCCTCCTCGGCGGGCCCAGCCGCTTTGCCTTGCAGTTGTTGCATGCATTTCCTCTTCCTCCTTCTCCTCCTCGTCCTCCCCCGCCCCCCCTCTCCTCAGCGGTCTACCCGCTTTGCTCTGCGCATTCAGCGGCGCGGTCGCTTCCCGCGTTCACGCTTCCCGTTCGCAGCCATTTGAAGGGCTTCCCGAGGCGACTGCCTTCGTCGGAAGTTCTCCCGCGCACGCCATGGCGTCCAAGCGCGTGGCGAAGAAGCGGTGTCAAGGAAAGGTTGCTTCGCTGCCTCGTGACGATGACGGCGATCTTGCCGCTTCTTTTCTCATGCCCTCACATCATCTCTCCATCCGCTCTTTTCTCATGCCCTCACAGCGGCGCGACCGCTTGGCACCCGACCCCCCCTCCCCCGCACCTCTTCAGGCGATGCTACTGATGCAGCAGACCTGCAGGTCATCGCCAACACGGTGATCATGCCCAGCTTCTCCGACGACAGCCCTGCCCCCATGGCGCCAGTGGCAGCTCAGAACGTGCTGCAGTCGCTCTTCCAGCGCCAGACCGCGACGGGCAGCCAGGACGCGCCGAAGGCGGGAGACGCTGTCGAGGTCGCGCCAGCAGAATCCCTGAGCGACGCCCAGCCCGAGGCAGCCAAGGAGGCGACAAAGCCTGGCAAAGAGGCAACAGGGGACACCCTGCCTGACAAAGAGGAGGACGTGCCAGTGGAGGCTGAGGAGGAGGCGGGCGAGGAGGCTGAAGATGAGGACGTGCCAGTGGAGCAGCTGTCGGACGACGACAAGAGGGAGGGAGAGGTTGAGGCCCTGCTCTCGCAGGGCGACCCGAAGTGCTCCATGTGCAAGAAGGAAACGAATCCGCTTGCACAGGGTTGTAAGATCACCCATGGCGGCACGGTCATCACGTGTGCCGCGTGCAGGGTGCGCGACCCAACACTTCGACGGATTTTCGGCGGGTGGCCGATTGCGGAGTTCGACGAGCTCACCACGGAGGAGCAGGATCACTTCTACCAGAATTGCGGGTCAGCAGCTGCTGCTTGCCGCGACGCGATGAAGGGGATGCTGATGAATGTGCGCATGAAGCGCATCACGGAGACCCACGCTGGGCAATTCCTGCCCTTGTCTGTGCACGAGAAGCTGGGATACAACACGAAATATATTGAGGAGAAAACACAGGCTACTGACATCGAGGATCATCCAGTTCTCGGGAAGACGTACCGGGTTCAGATCCACGAGATCTCGGAGGCCAGGATCAAGGAGGTCATCATGCAGGAGATAGCTAGAAAAGTTGGCAGCAATCGCAAGCGCAGAGCGTCAGCCTTCCTGGAGGCTGCCGAGGCAGCTGAAAAGCCGCAGAGCGCAACAGCGGCAGGAGCAGCAGCGGCGCTCGAGGAGGCTCCAGCGGAGCTGCCGAAGCAGAATGGCTCAAAGAAGCGCCAGCGCAGCAGCAGCAGCAGCGACAGCAGCAGCAGCTCCAGCTCCTCGAGCTCCGACAGGAAAAAGAAAAAGAAGAAGGGCAAGAAGGGTAAGAAGGGCAAGAAGGGAAAGAATGGCAAGAAAGGCAAGAAGGGCAAGAAGGGCAAGCACGATTACGAGGAAGAGCTTTCAGGGTCTGACGCGGGCCTCGGCCCAAAGGAGCTTGCGGCCAAGCGCAAGGCGAAGCTCGCAGCAGAGAAGAAGGCGGCCCGCGAGGCTGAGAAGATTCAGAAAGCCATGGACAGGGAGATGGCCAAAGAGGAGGCAGCCCGCAAAAGGCAGGGACAGAAGAAGCGCACCAAGGGCTTGCAGACCGTTAACAAGGCGCTGTTGGCGGTGAAGCCATTGCTGAAGAAGACGGGGGATCTTCTGCGCGATGAGCGCGCGAAGAAGGCGACGGAGTCAGATCGGATCTGACGATGGGGAGGGGGGGGAAGAGGAGGGGGCGGAGGAGGAGGAGGAGGCAGAGGAGGAGGAGAAGGAAGAGGGGGAGGAGGAGGAGGAGGAGGAGGAGGGGGGAGTCGCCCCCTCTCATTTCAGGCGCCGACGACGTGCACTGAGGAGGCCACCAACAAGCAGAAGTTTCTGAATGATGTTGTGGAGTATTGCAACAAGTGCCTGGAGGACGAGGATGTCGTCCCAGACGTCAGGGAGGAGGAGGTTAAGACGGCTGTCAACTACATGACATCGTGGATGAAGAATATCACGGCTGCTTTCGAGACGCCGTCGTGGGCCAAGAAGAAGTGATCCACTGGGGCTCTGGCCAGATCACTTCGGAGTAAGTCTCCATCGACTCGTTGGATGCCGATGGCATGACCGTGGCGGTAGCTACCTGGACTTTTAGCGTGCTTGCAGGGGCACACAGCGGACGTTACCGCTCTCGCGTAGGATTAATAAGGAGCTCGTTGCTCCTGGGCGTGCTTGCAGGGGCACACAGCGGACGTTGCCGCTCTCGCGTAGGATTTATAAGGAGCTCGTTGCTCCTCTT